TCCATACTGTTTTCCATAATGGCTGTACCAAACTACATCTCCATTGACAGTGTAGGAAGGTTCCCCTTTCTCCACATCTTCTTCAGTATTTATTGTTTGTGGACTTTTTAATGATGTTCAACCTGACAGGTGTGAGGTGATACTTCATTGTAGTTTTGATTTACATTTGTCTGATAATTAGCGATATTGAGCATTTTTTCATGTGCCTATTGGCCATTTGTATGTCTTCATTGGAGAACTGCTTTTTAAGGTCTTTTGCTCATTGTTGGATTGGGGTTTTTTGTTGTTGTTGTTGTTATTAAGTTGTGTGAGTTATTTGTATATTTTGGAAATTAAGCCCTTGTCAGTCACATAATTTGTAAATGACATTATTTTTAAATGTAAATTTCTGATTGTTGCTAGTATCTTCTTATAGAAATACAAGATATTTTTTGATATTTTTTGGTTCTTGTGTCTTGAAATCTTACAATACTTATTAATTCTAGTAGTCTTTTTTTTTTGTAATTTCACCGAATTTTCTGGATAGAGGATCATTTCATATCTGAAAAAGACAGTCTTCTTTCTTTCAATTGGAATGCCATTTAATTCTTTTCTTTGCCTGGTTGTTCTAACACTTCTAGTACACTGTTGAATAGAAGTGGTGAGAGGAGACATTCTTGCCTTTTTTCTGAGTTTAGGGGGAAAGCATTCATTAAGTATAATGTTAGCTATTGGTTTTTGAAAATACTCTTTACAGGTCAGAGGAGTTTCTGTCTTTTCCAAGTTTGCTAAGAACTTTGATCAGGAATGGAAGTTGGTTATAATATGGTTTAACATATGCAGGTACATAGTGTATTACTTAGATATCTACTGGCCAACTTGGGCATTCAACTACAAATTCTAACTTGGTTTAAATGGAAAAGCTAATGTCAAATTTCAAACAACCCAGTTCTGAGAAAAGTTTTGCCCTTAATTTGCGTTGCAGTTGTTAGTTGCGAGTCCTGTAGAGTCGGTCCTCCCTATCTGCAGTTCTTCATCTGTACAAATGTAGAGTCCACTGTGCTACCTAACACATTTTATATAAGGGACTTGAGCATCCTCAGACCTTGGTATCTGCAGGGGTCCTGGGACCAATCTTCCCACATACACCGAGGGATTACTGTATTGTTTTATTTTTAAGGAAGTATCACAGAAACATAAGCAATAACTAAGCCCTAAGAAGGGCCTGATGAAAGAAAAACTCCACATCTCTGCTCACTACCCTATTAAGTTTAAGTTATAGAAATAAAGTTCTGTCTCCCCTCACTTCATCTAGCACAACATTGTATACATTTAAGGGGAAAATTTCTAAGGGAAAAAAGAACAACACAAAAGAAAAGAGCATTTCTTCAGAATACAACTTTCTTATGCTAAGATAATTAAAATATCACTCTGAAGATTTGTTTGAATATTATAATTTACTGGCTTCATGTACCACTCCCCATGTACCCTTCCTCCTATTTCAGTCATGTCGGGAATAACTATTCCCAAAACTTCCCATTTCTTTTTCATTTCTAGGTCACCCTTTTCTTCAAACCCCTACTTTTCTTTGCAGGGCAGGCATGGTAGCCCTGAAAAGGTAAATTTCTTCTGGTAGTGAAAGAATCAAATAAACTTCATAAGAAAAATGTTGTGGTATCAATAGTTCCTTCCATTCTAGTGAGTCCTACAAAATCAACTTCTACACGATAGAAGGGAAATTTGGTATCCAGATTTAAGGGGCTATTACTCTTTGACGCGGTGAACATGCAATTAGCTGTAAATTTTATTCTTATGATATTTTGGGTCAGAATTTTGGATTAAGGCAGATCATCAGAAAGCTGATATTTGGGAGTTCATAACACATTTAGAGACTTGACTTAATGGCAGCATAATATATTATAATCCACAAATCATGATTCTTTCTTTTAACATTCATATTTCTCTTGTTTTTTCTTTTAGTGCATTTTAGTACACCAGATCCTTAATGGAAGCGGGTGGAAAATAAAGGCACATATAAATAAACATGTAAATAAGTAAATAGTTCAAAGTTAAGTGGAACTTATGAAAGTATAGAATTTATTAAGGTGCAATTTCTTTATTAACCCTTCGTCTTAGTATATAGTGTTGAAAAGGATTCCCCAGGAGTTCACATAAAACACGTTTTATTGTGGCCTAGAAGGTTCTAGATGTTCTGAGCATGCCTACCTCTCCAGCCTCATATACCATTTTCCTTCTGGATAGCAAGTCAACCTTTCCTTATTCTTTGAAAACTCCAAGTTTTACCTGTACATACATGAGACTTGATTCCCCTAGATCTTTGCGTGGTGTGTTCTTTTATTTTCCATCCCCAGGCCTGGGGGTAGAGGGGTACCCTGTCTCATAAGACACATGACACCCTTAGGCGTGGTGTTTGATTGATTGATTGATTGATTGATTGACAACTCAGGTTCCCTGTGCTCTGGTTGATTGACGGCTCAGGTTCTTTGTGTTCTGGGTTGTTCTTTTCCCCTTCCTCTCTCCCTGTCTAGTGCTCACTTCTATCTAAACTACCTAACATTCCCCCCTCTAGTCATAGGACCCCAAATCTTTGGGACATAGAGGACGATGACTACTCTAGCTACTTCCTGCTGATCTGGGGCAACGATGGAGCTCTTTGGGGTCCCAGACTAGCTGGATGTCACTGGGCAGGTGGTGAGCAAAGGGTCAGTGTCTGTCAAGGGGCTGTATAAAAGCTGTC